AACGAGAAAACTTAATTAGTGGAACATTTTTAGTTCTCCAACAATCTTGTTTACACAACATTGCCAAAAAAGTTACCATTTCTGTTTTCTGTATGAGTCTTGGCTTCTTGGACAGAAAGATTGTGATTCCATAGTTGTCTCCCCTCTTGTTCGTCAGAGGAAATGCCAAGGTCATGTTCTTCATCTGATTGCAAATTCTCAGAGCAAGTATGTCCTGATCCAGTCTTTTCATGTGATTGAGAATTCTCCAAGTCACGAAATACGGTTCCTGTTTCAGTATTGGCTTCTTGAACAGATTGCATAGTCAAAAATCCTTCTTCAAGAGTTCCCATTTCTCCAGGATCATTTGCTCCAGAAGTTGAAGTTTCATTTGGTCCTGATGCACGAAAATTATTTCTTAATGCTACAAGAAAGAGCATGTTTAGTGTTACATTTTTCTTACTTCAAAGCACAGCCAAACATTTAAACAAGGATGAAAAAATCTCAAAAACAGAATCCCCACCATTTNTACATTTTTCTTACTTCAAAACACAACCAAACATTTAAACAAGGATAAAAAAATCTCAAAAACAGAATCCTCACCATTTTCTTGATGCATGGTATTCTGTTACGAAGGCTTCTTCAGCCATTTGGATCCTGGAAACACCATGAGGTTAAATAAACCACAGTAATGGCCAGACTCAATACACCAGCAATTGATGGTTAAATGTACTTCAAAAATCTGGTATTGCTTGATAATCAAGTTGTATTACATGACTTGACCTTAAATTGAGATGCTCCACACAATTCGTCATTGCCAATGAAAAAATCAGAGGTACAGTTCTTAAAAGGCCCTCCATTTGGAATTTCACGAGTCAGTTCATTGAACGAAACATGGAAATACTCAAGATCCTCAAGTTTCTCCAATGCCTTGGGGATTACACCATCGAGTTTTTCTTGGATAAATCCAACATTTTCAATGTAATCAGATTACCAAACGAATCAGGTATAGGACCATGTAATCGATTGTTTGATAATGTTAGATTTTCCAAACTTTGAAGTTGTCCTATGGTGCGAGGAATATTGCCTGAGAATTGATTTCGTGACAGATATAACTCTCGCATGTTCTTCATGTTTCCAATTTCTGGAGCCAGCAACCCCTTCAGTAAATTATTAGCTAAACTCAAAATCTCAATGTCCTCGTTAGTCCACATTGTGGATGGGATAGTGGAAATCAATGAGTTGGAAGTTAAATAAATTTTTCGTAAAGTGGTTAGATTTCCTAAACAAGTTGGTATCCGTTGAGAAAGCTGATTTGACTCCAAAGATACAGAATACAGAATTACCAAATTGCAAAGGCTGGGAGGTACTGGTCCCCGTAGTTTATTTTCATGAATACTCAGCTCTTGCAATTTTCTTAATTGACCCAATGTGTCCGGAATTATTCCTGTCAATTCATTGCCTCCAATGTCTAACTCAATCAAGCTGCTCAAATTACCAATTTCATTCAGAATGATACCTTTAATACCGCACTGCTCGGCATTAAAAGTTTTAAGAGTTGCTGACAAATTACCCAAGGTTTTTGGTAATATTCCATCAAAATAATTGTTTCCCAATTGTATGACCTTCAACTTTCTACAATTTTTCAATGAAATAAGAAAATCCAATTCGTGCATTGAATGATCATTTGTCAACCAATTTCTATAAAAACTTAGATACTGTAGGTTTTGTAAATTTCCAAGATTCATGGGTACTCGTCCACTAAAGAAGCTGAAACCAAGATCCAAATCAGTAAGCTTAGAAAAATTCTATAAAAACTTAGATACTGTAGGTTTTGTAAATTTCCAAGATTCATGGGTACTCGTCCACTAAAGAAGCTGAAACCAAGATCCAAATTAGTAAGTGTAGAAAAATTTGAAATAGAGGCAGGAATTTCTCCACTCGCCCATTGGCAATTGACAATGGAAGATTGTCGGATATACTATTCTTAGAAAGAGAAAGTAGTTGTAACCTGGAGAGATTGAAGATGGAATCAGGTATTTGACCCTGAAGATGGTTGCAAGCAACACTCAATCCCTTTCAAAATACATTATTTCAAAACTCATTTTTAACCACACATTTTTCAATAAAATAATATTTTTCATCACATCAATAACTTTTCTTTATTTTTTAACAACATATTTTCAATCATGTCATTATTTAAAATACATTCTTTCCTTAATAATATCCATCAAACACACCCTAAATAATAGATAGTTTACCTGTTAAGATATTGTTACTCAAATATAAAAATTGAAGTCCTGATGAGTTTCCAATCCCATATGGAATGCTTCCTGTGAATACATTTTATTAAAATTCAAAATTAAAATATTTAAATTTTCAAAAAGTTATTATCGAATGTTAATACTGAAAGTAAAGAGATCAGTTAAATTAAATGAAAATATTATATTCAAATATTGGTGGCTCTAATAAATATTTTTAAACTAAGAATGATTTTATAATTACTAATGTATAAATTAATTTAGAATATTAAATTATTTAGTAAACAAGGTGATGCAAGGAAAAATGAACAATATACGAGAATAAAGAATAAACCTAAATCTAGTTAAGTCTTAAAATACCTGTGAATTTTGAAAATCAATAATTCCTTGATTTACAATTGAATATTGAATAATTGATCTAGGTTGAGAAGTCGTTAATTCCGCAGAAACATTTTACGTCAAAAAAATTGTAAAAGAAACACTCTCATAACTTTTATAACGTTTTAATCAAAATACTCCAAAGTACAAAGCTCATCTTTGCTGCTAACGAAGAAATGCCTAACCATTAATTTTAACTGAAGTTGAATTAGGGTCCCCAAACTTTAAAAAAAAAAAAAACTAAATTCAATTAATAATTTAAAGTGCGTGATGTATTTCTAATAATTAATTGGAAAGTGCTTACATGTTGAAAAACATTTGTCAAAAAGTGTAAAATGCCTATGTGGTAACCTAAATTTCATTAAGATTTTACATCAACATTAAAATCTTTGTTATATATGAGAATTTTAAATTTAGAGTTTTTTTTTATAAATATTTGTCACGACTAAATAAACAAATTGAAATATATTTAATGAGTGTTCTAAAATGATCGTCCATGCATGAATCTGGTCCTTCACGCCTAGCAACACTTTATATTTGTTATGCCTAGCACATTTAGGCTCGTAAAAGCTCGAAGTTTGGCATTGATGACTCTTCATATTTTACACTTTTTAGAATACTGAATTTAATATATAAAACAAGTTTAGGAGATCTAGTTATGTACCAGTTAAACCGTTTTCCCCAAAATTTAACTCTACAAGTGCTGATAGGTTTCCCATTTCATTTGGAATAGTTCCTGTCCACCATTTAGCAGATAGGCTTCAATATATCAAATTTATATTCATATGAGATAGATCTAATGAATGAAAAG